AGGATAGGTATAATCTTAAATGAAGAAAAAAAACACACCCAGTCAGAGCATCTCTAACTGATTTCTATATTGCCCAAAGATTAAAAAACAACAACTCAACTCTAGTTACTACCTCTGTACGTATTTTTAAAGGAAAGAATAGGAAGGATATATGTTGTATCATAATTATACATTGTGATTTTGTTTCATTTTTTCATGCAGTGTAGATACCAGTTCTCTTATTTAAGGCACTATCTCAACCACCTTCTTTGTGGTTCAGGCCATATTGATATATTGATATTGATATGCAGGCAGGAAAGTGAGGTTGAAGATGGCTTTTCCAAGATACCCAATGGCACTCCAGCTCAAGCTGAATGAGACGTGAGCCCAGGATGCTTCGTGCCTTTAACCCTGAAACCCATAAAGTGTTCTTTATCCACTATAATTAATATGTTATATGTTAACACTATAGAAGTGTGCTCTGTTGTGAAATCGGAAAATACGAGGTAAAGGGCATTACTTTTATATAATCTGCACCTTTTTTATCAGCTGCCCCTTTATTTTGTATGTTGCGCCTTTAGTTCCTCTAATTTAATTTGTAATTTAATTTGTATTTCAAGAAAATATGTCCTCTTTTCACCTTTCAGAATAAGACACAAGGACTGAGTTTTGTCCGGATACATGCACCATGGAATGTACTTAGCCGAGAAGCAGAGTTTCTTAAAATAAAAATGCCCACTAAAAGGGTAAGTAGTACTCAGTTCTGTTTTAATTATTTTGAAACTTGCAGAACATTACAGAGGAAAGGCAGGGAAGGCTGGTTATTTCTAATCTCTGAGTATGGCAAGGAAGAAGCCCCCCTCCCCAGTGACTACCTAGGCTATGCTCCCCTCCACTTATAAAGTTGTTGTTGTTTAGTTGTTTATTCGTGTCCGACTTTTCGTGACCCCATGGACCAGAGCACGCCAGGCACTCCTATCTCCCACTGCCTCCCGCAGTTTGGTCAAACTCATGCTGGTAGCTTCGAGAACACTGTCCAACCATCTCGTCCTCTGTCGTCCCCTTCTCCTTGTGCCCTCCAACTTTCCCAACATCAGGTTCTTTTCCAGGAGTCTTCTCTTCTCATGAGGTGGCCAAAGTCTTGGAGCCTCAGCTTCAGGATCTGTCCTTCCAGTGAGCACTCAGGGCTGATTTCCTTCAGAATGGATCGGTTTGATCTTCTTGCAGTCCATGGGACTCTCAAGAGTCTCCTCCAGCACCAGAATTCAAAAGCATCAATTCTTCGTCGATCAGCCTTCTTTATGGTCCAGCTCTCACTTCCATACATCACTACTGGGAAAACCATAGCATTAGAAGGAAATTGGCATGACACACGTTTCAACATGTTAGTTGTTTAATGGAACTGTAGTGTTGGGAGGGACCTGAAGAGTCATTTAGTCCAACCCTCTGAAATGCAGGAATCACAGCTAAAGAGGCCCTGACAGATGGCCACCGAACCTCTGTTAGGAAATGTCGACTATCTGAGGTTGGGGATGCAGGTGGCGCTGTGGTGTAAACCACTGAGCTTCTTGGGCTTGCCAATCATAAGGTCGGCGGTTTGAATCCCCATGACGGGGTGAGCTCCCATTGCTCGGTCCCTGCTCCTGCCCACCTAGCAGTTCGAAAGCACGTCAAAGTGCAAGTAGATAAATAGGTACTGCTCCAGCAGGAAGGTAAACGGCGTTTCCGTGCGCTGCTCTGGTTTGCCAGAAGCGGCTTAGTCATGCTGGCCACATGACCCGAAAGTTGTCTGTGGACAAACACCGGCTCCCTTGGCCTATAGAGCGAGATGAGTGTGCAACCACAGAATCATCCGTGACTGGACCAAACGATCAGGGGTACCTTTACCTTTACCATCTGATGTGGTTTGTTCCACCATCAAGGAACTCTTAACCCCCAGACAGTTCTACCCAATGCTTTCTTGTAATCTCTTGATTTGTAGCAGCATCCACTGGTTTGAACCATCTTCCCATCAACAGCTGATACCTTGATATTTTCCTTGTTTGATTGTTAGGTTTCTTTTCTTACAGAACTTCTCTCCACTAGGATTGCCTTGAAATAACTCAAGCTTCTCCCTTCCTTTTCACTTGGTGCTACCTAAGCCAATATATTGCTGTTCTGGGGGCGGGGGGGGGAGAGAATATAAACTAACCTAATGAGGAATGATTGCTTCAGCCTGCCTCTTAAAATAGATCCCTTCACATTCAAGCATTCTGTATCCTGTGCTGCATGGGACATGGGTGGCGCTGTGGGTTGAACCACAGAGCCTAGGACTTGCCGATCAGAAGGTCAGCGGTTCGAATCCCCATGACGGGGTGAGCTCCCGTTGCTCAGTCCCTGCTCCTGCCAACCTAGCAGTTTGAAAGCATGTCAAAGTGCAAGTAGTTAAATAGGTACCACTCCGGCGGGAAGGTAAACGGTGTTTCTGTGCGCTGCTCTGGTTCGCCATAAGCGGCTTAGTCCTGCTGCCCACATGACCCGGAAGCTGTACACCGGCTCACTCGGCCAATAAAGCGAAATGAGCGCCACAACCCCAGAGTCAGCCACAACTGGACCTAATGGTCATGGGTCCTTTTACCTTTATCCTGTGCTGCAGATCAGCTGAACGAATGATGGCTGAGAAGCACTATTGAATGTTTGTACGTTAGTAAAGCCAAAGGCAGAGACGTAATCTTTTTGTAAACCACTTTGAGGTTTTATAAAAGCAGTATATAGATAGGAGCAGCCCAAAACATTTTGGCACCTGAGGCAAACCACAAAATGGTGCCTCTTCAACGCCAGCGAAGAAGGGGTGAGTAAAGACCTATATCAAGAACGGGGGGGGGGGGGGGATAAAGATCTACTTTGGCATCTGCTGCCCCTGTGGATCCTACTGCCCAAGGCAGTTGCCTCACCTTGCCTCATGGGTGGGCCGGCCCTGACACAAATGTTGTGAAATGATAAGATAAAATAAATATTCCTAGCTAGCAGTTCAAATGTTCCCAGGGTCTAACGAATTGAAAAAGGTATTTAAATATACCTTCTTGAAGAAACCAGAGGCCTTTCTCCTGGGCATAGTCGGCCAATTGGTGCCAAAGAAGGACAGAACTTTTTTTATGTATGCTACTACAGCAGCAAGAATTCTCATTGCAAAGTATTGGAAGACACAAGATCTACCCACCTTGGAAGAATGGCAGATGAAGGTGATGGACTATATGGAACTGGCAGAAATGACTGGCAGAATCCGAGACCAGGGAGAAGAGTCGATGGAAGAAGATTGGAAGAAGTTTAAAGGCTATTTACAGAAATATTGCAAAATTAATGAATGTTAGAATGATGTCGGATAGAAACTAAGTGGTCTTTAGCCGAAATGTTATAAGGGAATATGAAAAAAAATGGTTTATTAATAGGTAAAAATCTAAAATTACAAATATTTTATGATTAACGATTAGGATACATAAAGAGGGGAGGGATTTGTTGAACTAATAACTGAATTGGAATACAAAAAAGGGAGGTGTGAGGAGGTCCTGGAAATAAGCAAATGAAGGCTAAGTAACGGAAGGAAGGAATTGTTTTTAACTGTTTTTATTTCGTATTTTTCTTTTTTTTCTTTTTTTGTCTTGTAATATTCTGAAAATCTTAATAAATATCTTATTAAAAAAAACCACAAATGTTCCCAGGGTCTATTCAGACACTGCAGACAACCACTTCAGGGGGTGACATTTTTTCTTTAAATAGGAGCTCATTTTCTGGAACCAAAACTGGTGGTGGAACAATACTCAGTAATTCTCCTTCAATATTGGTGCCTCACTAACTTTTCTTGGATATGGGCTCTGGGAACACTGCTGGTGAAAAGATGCCGTTTAATTATTCTAAACAAATTAATATTTGGGAAGCCACCTGCTCATTCATGCTCTCTTTGTTTCTCCAGACGTATGAAATAACAGAAGAAACGGGAATTGTCAATAAATTGTCTGAAATATGGCAGAAGTTTACAAAACCTTTGCAGCCCAAAGTGCCACAGCAAAATACCACCAGAATGAAGCATTTATCTTACCCTTTCTCCAGAGAAAAACTCTATTTGTGAGTACTTAACAAGGTGCACAGTATAATTCCCTGAGAAATATAATTCATTGAGGAATGTTGTGGTGATTGAGACTGCACATAACTTCCTATCGTATACAGTCTTCATGGGACTGTACTATTTAAGAAAACAGTTGAAATGGTTACATCTTTGAGTGCCCTCACCTACCATGTATGGTGTCAGGGATCTCAAACTGAGGATTGTAGCATCAGAACAGGCATCTTACTTTCTGTGATGCTAGAGGAAGTTGACAGACACTTCCTTTTAGCTCAGCAGAAATCAGATGATGCAATTAGATGCTTACAGAATTTGATTTCTGTGAACCATGATGTGAACTGACCTAATCCTCTCTAAAGTTGGTGTGCAGATCAGAGCGTGCTAATACATCAGATTTCTCACTTATTATAATTTTTCTTGTGTGTGTGTGTGTGTGTGTGTGTGTGTGTAAAGGTGTGTGCATACATATATATTTGTTAAGTATTGTTGTTTAAAGTTGCAGATGCAATAAATCCTGTATTTTATCTTGGCTGGTTTTGTTTTTTTTTTAAACACCAGCTAGGTTTGGAATGTATAGTGTTAAGTTGTGGGTGAACATATCAGACGACACAGCAATTCTTCAAACAGCTCTTGTTTATTCAGAGGCCAGAACAGAACTGAACTGAGGAGCTCAGTCAGCCTGCTTATATAGAGCTCCAGAACAACGTAACTGTTGCAACTTTCTAAAACTATCCAATCACTGAACGTCACTTTCGATCCTTCATTTGCATACAAACTATCCAATCACTGAACGTCACTTTCGATCCTTCATTTGCATAACTATCTACAGTATCCCCCTGCTGGCCCAGGGTGAGAACTTCAGTACATAAAATATAGATTCTTATTCCTCATAAACGAATTATGATAATGAAAAAGAAATTGTGCAGCTCAGCAGGTAGAGCATGAGACTCATGCTCTCAGAGTTTGGGTTTGAGCCCCACATTGGGCCCAAAGTCCACACTGAGGAGTGTTTATCCCACAGCCATGCTGCAGAAACTAATGCAACATTTCTCTGTTTGGGCAAACATTTTGTCACCAGGAAGCAGTGGGGGATTGATTTATATTCAAATATGCATTGTATAATTTGTTTCTTAAAGTTCTTGCGCTGCCCTCAGACTTTGGCATAGGATAAGTTAATATCCAGGAACATTTTCCCAGGTGAATTTTAAAAAATCATGGGTTTAAACCTGTAAATTACATTATTGAATAGGGTTCCCTTCTCTTGAAAGCAGGGAGTGCAAGGACGTTTTGACAGAAGGAAAATCCTGTGATTCTTACCAAACTCTGCATTTGCGTGTCGAGGTCCCCAGGGCCACCCCAATAACTCACACATCACACAGAATTTTTGTTTAAGATTTTTGGCATAATTTTGGCCACAACTTTATTGAAATACAAATTTGTGAGTGGTTGCTTAGGCATTGGTTGCGACTATCTGCCCCCACCATGGGGGACAGACTGACATTCCGCACGATGCGAAAGTCAGAATAGGGGAATACACTTGGGGGTTACGCGGAGCAGGAAACCTGCCCTCAGCCCTCCCCAAATGCAACCAGGAGCTCATTGCTATGGCCCGAGCCCCCTTGACAGAGTGGACAAGCAATAGTTAGCTCCCAATTCATTTAACGGAATTCCTTGCAGCAGCAGCATTAGAGGGGCAAGCACAGCCAGTCGATGCCCCTCAACCAACCAAACCATAAACCAATGTCTAACCGCGAACCTTACAAGTTGTGACGATTTGCTACGCAGTAGGCAAAAACCAAATAGCCCCAGCCAATCAGCCAGATGGACAAAATTCCTACTGGGCCCCTGCCCCAAGAGCAGACGACCCCATGACAGGCATAGCAAGGTCAAAGCGAACAACCCTATTCTAGGGAGGGAGGGACGGGCAATCCAATGCACAGGCAGAAAGAGGAAGCCCTAGCCTCGTGCAAGAAGTTTTAGCATTTCTGGCTGTTCAATCAACAAATGGCAACATTAACTTCTTCCCAACAACAAGGGAAGCCCCAATCGCATCAGTGGCCAACGGTCAATTAGCCCGCCCCCAACTTTAGAGTGTCCTGGCGGCCCCCACCACAACACGTGCTCTCCATGGAGGAGAACATGCTTTCTAGAAATTACCCTGTTAAACTTGTCAAGCAGAATCATATAAGCTGGCTAACCTTTTGAAACAAAATCTGTCACCTTTTATTTATACAATCCTTTACAGGTTTCCTCAGAGGTAAGCTCCACTACGTTTAAGGGCCTTACTCTCAGGGAAGTATGCATAGGACTGGTCTTCTTTTGCTCTTCTGGGAATTGCATAAGGCACATTTTAACTGATCTTGTCTATCACTGTCTCTCAAGGTACAACATTCAAGATAAAGACACGTTTTTTGACAATGCTACCCGCAGTCGAATAGTAAGTCAGCTGAGGGGGTGTGACGCATGAGGGAACCCCCCTGTGTTTAACTGCATTCACTGTTATTGCTGATAATCACATATTTTTAAAAAATCTATGTACAGTGGTGCCTCGCAAGACGAAATTAATTCGTTCTGCGAGTTTTTTCGTCTTGCAAATTTTTCGTCTTGCGAAGCACGGTTTTAACGGTATTAACGGTTTTAAGAAAAAGGAAACAAACTTGCAAGATGTTTTTGTCTTGCGAAGCAAGCCCATAGGGAAATTCGTCTTGCGAAGCAACTCAAAAAACGAAAAACTCTTTCGTCTTGCGAGTTTTTCGTCTTGCGAGTTTTTCGTCTTGCAAGGCATTCGTCTTGCGAGGTACCACTGTAAATGTTCATGGCTCTCTACAAGTGGGAGAGGGAGTTAATGGTTTGTGGGGGTTTTGGTTCTTGCTTTTATCATGTATTTTGTGCTTTTATCTTGCATTTTTATGTTGTGAACCACTTGAGATCTGCGAAAAAAGGGTGGTATTCAAATTTCATCATCATGGGTCCCTGGTTGCGTGGTGATTTCTGGTCACTGAATAAGGCAGAGGCTACAAACCCTGATTATTTCCAGTGCTTTTTTTCTGGGGTACGCAAACTCCTAAACATTTTAGGAATCTTTGTACTTTTGTCCATTTACTGTATTTAGTTTTCCCGATTTGAACTATAAAATGGTGATTTTCTGGAGTCAAAATGAGAGTACCCGTAAACATTTCCCCCCCCGAAAAAAGCACTGCTTATTTCCAATTATTTTTCATTGGGGAAGGTATCTTCTTTAATTTTTATTTAATGTACATTGTTTGAATCTTATCAAACCCTTGATGTGGGAAGCCATGACGGTCAAAGAGGAGATGGGTTCAAATATAGCCTTCTCTCTGATATGATAGTTTGCTATATACACGGGCTGTTACTGTTGTTACCGTATATAGGAGCTTCCAGTTGCTTGAGCCTTCACCTGCAGTTTGACGTAGCACAGGACTATGAAATACAAGATGAAGAAAGCTATTTTATTTAAATATAGTTTAAAAAAATATGGTATGGTGAATATCATCTTTGTGTCTTACTGGCTTCATGCAGAACATCTATCTCTTGGAAAGAAGTTATCTGTTAGTTACACCATGTTTGTGTGTTTTGATGCAGGTACATGAAATTTTGAAGCGTACATATACTACAAAAGCCAAAAACAGCATGGGTAAGAAATAATTCACTTTTTAAAAAAATGTTATTTCGGAAGCTGCTTTTTAATATTATTGAATTCTTGTTCTAAATTTTGAATCTCAGATGCTTGTTAAGATATATTCATAGTGCATTCTGCTATGTCTTAGTAGGTTAGGGCAAATCCTGGATAATCAAATAAAAAGACATGTTTCTGAATCCTGCTCTGTTGGACATCATGGAGAATAAACTACGCAAAATCGTAATATATATATATATATTGACAGAATAAATTGTCTAAAACCAAAGGTTAACAATCTGCATAATTTATACAGGTTACATAATTAGTTTTTTTGTTGGAAGAGAATGTAAAGGTTTTGTTAAATCACAGACTGCACACAGTCCTTTGAATTTTCCATTCAAAGAAAAGCATTCTCCTTGGGCCAGTATAAACAACACCTAACATTAGGGTGCAAACTGTTCTGGAAACATTCTGTAGCTAAGTGAATTCAGAATGAATTCCCTTAAGAAAATAATATTGCTTGATATATTTTTTTTATGACTAATATTGAGCCTTGAGCTTTATTGGCCTTGCCTTCAATATAATTGGAAACTTCCCTCCCCCCTTCTCCCAAATTCTCTTCTGCAGCTTCTGTTAGACGGGATAATCTCTAGTTCTACAAATATTCAGTGCATAGGTGGCATTGAACGTCGACACTTGATATACGGTTATTTTTCAGTAGCACTCACAGTTTAAGCACTTTTGCTTGGAGTGGCAGCAATATGTGAGCAGGTGACAGCAAATCTTGGTCAAAATTGGTGAATGGAGATGTTGCAATCCGAAAGCTAACTCAGATGTGACAAAACAAACCAGCTAGATTTCAGATTCAGATGTCACGTTTTGATTGCAGAGTTCAATCATTTTAAATTACCGTATTTTTCAGTCTATAAGACGCCCCCATGTAGAAGACGCCCCCTATTTTGGGGGACTCCGGTTTAAGAAAATGGGGGGAGATGGCCCCCGTGTATAAGACGCCCCCAAATTTTGGACATTATATTTTAGGGGGGAAACCTAGTCTTGTACACAGAAAAATACGGTACTTTTAATTTACTTGTAAGATGTATATCCCACTCTGAAACATAATATTTCCACCAATCAGATTTTAACATTACATTTATAAGCTGAAATCCACATTGGGGGAAGAGAAGGGAGGAGTTCCATTGTGCTAGTGGTATCGCATTCTTTGGTCGAAAAGCAAATATATATGTGTGTTTAAAAATAACTATTGCTATCTTTATTTTTCTTTAGGTATTAACACATTAATAGCAAACAATGTTTATGAAGCAGCCTTTCCTCTCCATGATGTAGGTATACACTCTCTTGTCAATTTCCTAAGAACCTTGTTAAAAGTGAAAGAATGCTTAATTGATGCTACATATGAGATTCCGCTGGAGTGCAAATTTCCTGTTAAGAAGCAGTATCCTTCAAATAAATAAGGGATATTCAGTGTTATGTTGGAGGGGATGCCAGGAAACAGGGAATTATGTTCACATGTGGTGAGGGTGTAAATATGTACAAATTTTTGGGCAAAGGGTGTTTAAGGAAATCACTGGAAATCACAGAAATCACTGGATTAAAGCTGAGCAAAAGTCAAGAGGTAGCATGATTATCAGTTTACAATGGGATGGAAGGTTCACAGACTATGAAGGACTTGCTCACAATTTTTTTGACAGCTGCACGAATCATTATAGCTAGGAAGGGGAAGGGGCAAGTACAATATAAAATGGGAGAATGTTACGGAGAGGTTTGGGATATAGCTATTAATGATAAATTAACATGTGCCATTAAGGTAAGATGGGGAATATGTAGGAGAAATGATTATGAAGAAACATGGAGGGTGTTCATAGAATTTGTGCTGTTAAAACGGAAAGGGGTTAAACCAGCACAAGAAGTGATGAAATGTTGGGAGGTTGGATAGTTATAATAGAATGGTCTTGGTGGTGGGGCGCACATTTTTATGCTTATTTATGTATGATTAATTATTAATTTAATAATAATAATAATAATAATAAAGCAGTATCCTAGTTTTAGGCTTATACATAGGACTCCTTCACACAAAAAAGTTCTCGTGGGATTTCTTGTTGGTCCATTGGTTTCAGTGGGCCAACTCCAAACATGATTTAGTTGATGACCACCCCTGGTCTTCAACATTGAATTGCATTCTAGCAGGCAGGGGAGGTCAATATTATATCTATCATCATCACCATCCTGCTTTAGTAGAGATTCCTGCATTTCAGGGGGTTGGACTAGATGACTTTTGGGTCCTTCCAAGTCTACGATTCTATGATTATATATAGCAAGGATGGGAA